ACGAAAGGGTAACTCTCGATTTTTGGTGTGACCCCAGCCGCAATAAAACTGCTTGGATAAGAGTTCATTATGCTTCTGGGAGCATACAAGCCACACTGCATGTATGTACGTCTGAAGCTTCTTCGTCTGCATTTCACTACATCCAGGCGATCATATTGTTATAGTTAGGGGCCCGGCCGGTCGTTACCAACAACGGTTCTTCATCTTTTTCTCATGTGCTGACGGCTAGCGACTTCAGRATTTTGTTGGTTGGTAGCGCAGATGTTCGTTGGCAGCATAGCGCCATTTAATTTGTGTGGCTTTAGCTCTAAACAAGTCGTAAAATGGCTATATCCAGTGCTTTTGTTACACGTAACTGCAATAAGTCTAGGCCTGACTCTTTTAAGAAACAAATTTARTGTTTTTCGAGTTACACGGAAAATCTGACAACGGTGTGCCCTGTAATTCCAGCCTCCTCTATGGGTGAAACCTARAAATTCTCGGCTAGAAGATATTGTCTGTACAATGAAGTAATGTCGAAAACAATTAAAAGATGACAAATTGACGGCGCTTAAAAGTAAAGTTCAATTTTACAAAAAAGTTTAAAGGTAAACTGATATAGCTTATTGAACTGAGCAGTTTAGRAGACTTTAGCCAACCTCGTTCAACGACTGAGAGAAATTCAACACCAATGGTCAAATTTACTAATGGTTTCCATCTACCTAGGGACGCTAACAATGCCTAACATTGTCTGAATTCAATATATCCTTGCAATATCCTGTTAACKTATTCAAACAATCTCACAACTGACAGAACTTCAATGCGTCGAGTTCTGGCAAATCGATATCCTCTTGTGTGCAGCATGCAGCCAGAAATGAGCCTCATCACTGAAGGTGATTTTCGATGGAAATCCGGTTCATTTTAAAGTTCTTGCTCAGCCTATTTCACGAGCATACGACGATTTTCGCAAAATTCGCCGCAACGACGTCACAGAGATGCCYAACGCTTGAGAAGGACGTGTGAGAGACTGATTTGGGTCTTCCTCAATTGATGCGCTAGCGGCAGCAATATTCTCTATACTACGGCACTTTTTTATCTACTACTCGGTATATTTTAATAATTTCCGATCGTTGTTGAATCGTATGTCTTTCCATGAAAAAAAGGCAAATTTTATTGAAGAGAAATGTGAAAAGCGCGGGAAAAAATATGGCGTCGTGTGTCCCTGTCGGTCGACCTGTGTAGCGTCTCTATTGAAAACCCCGTTAAATGTTATATTAAGAAAGTAAAATTTGGAATTGGAATTTTCGAAACACTCATAAGAACTGTTAAAATGTAAGCTTCATAATTTGGAATGATCGGAATTTTCGAAACACTCATAAAATTGTTGGAATGTAAAATTAAAGAGCTCTTAAAAATACAACCGTATTTAAATTTATAACTGTTTTGCGCTTATGTGGAATGAGTGGAATATTTGAAACACAGTTACAAATGGCTCCAGACTAATACAGAGCGCGAAATTTGATGTCCTTAACCTATGGGAAAGCAAA